GCTTATATTAGGCATATTAACAAAAAAATAAAAAGGTCTTTGTTGAAGAGCCTGCTTGTGTCGATCAGAAAACACAACAAGAGTTCGACCCATATCATCCTTAAAGTAAGAAGGGGAAAATCGACTTCTAAATTCAGTGCCCTATGACAAATTATAAAACAAAGATAATTTTCAAACATAAGAAACAAAAAATAAAAAACATATTCAGAGAAATTCGATTGCACAGATAAACAAAAAAAAAGAATATGATGCAAAATGAAAGAAGTTCCAGAAGCTAAATTTGCAATTACAGAACAAAAGAAAACAAAATAATCCAATTTGGATAATAAAAGCAGTTACAAAAGGTAATACTATGAATTTTGTTATCAAATGATAAAAAATAGCCCCACAATGAAAGAGCAAAGTTGCAGTAAAATCAAATAATTAAGCAAATAAATAATACATCAAAGCTGATAAACAGAAATTCATAACTCTCCAAAGCCCTCAAATTTTCGAATTCAAGAACAAATGGAACTTATGAAAAAAAACCCTAAATTGAAAAAATCCCTAAAATAAACTGAAATTCATAACTCTTCAAAGCTCTCGAATTTTTTAATTCAAGACAAAAAAAAAAAATATGAAAAAGACCTAAATTGTAAAAACCCAAAAATTGAAAAAAAAAACCCTAAAATTAGGAAAAAAAAACCCCAAAAATCAGAAATTACCCTTGTTAATGCCTTGGTGGGTGTCAAGGAGGGGGACAGTTTGTGCTCGTCAGGTGGAGATTTCTTTTTCGAGTCGGCCATTCTTCCCGCCGGAGGAGAGACAAACGCATTTCAGAGAGAAGAGAGAGGAGCGATGAACGAGAGAGAAAGAGAGAGAGAGAGAGAGAGATGAAACGATCAGAGATGGAATTTTCAGAGCGAGGAGATGACCGTCGATGGAATTTCCAGAGCAGGAGAGACGATTTGCATTCGATTTTAGAGAGAGAGAGAGAGAGAGAGAGAGAGAGAGAGAGAGAGAGAGAAAGAGACAATTTCGCACAGGCAGATGAGAGAGAGAGAGAGAGAGAGAGAGAGAGAGAGAGAGAGAGAGAGAGAGCAGAATAAGAATGAAGAAGAGAGAGTGAGTTTTTTACTTTCAGCAAAATAAATGAAAAATAATAACAACACTATATATATATGAGAAGTAATAAGGAAGGAGAAATTCAAATTGGGGACTGAGGAGGAGGATTAAATGTAATGGGGGACCAAGGAAGAAATTAATTTGTGGAATGGGGATTTATAATGAATTTACCATAAATATTATGGTTTTTGTCCACTATGTTAGCCTAATTTAAGAAAAGGTGCTATACTTTTTAATTTTCGTGGACACCATATTTAGTACACTAACATTTTTCTAATGAAAAAATTTTGAGGGTAAGAATTAAGGTCGGACCCTCAACCTGTATATATTCACAACTCTAATCGAGTTGAAAAATTACAAGTCTACACGTTTAAACAGCAAACAAAAAACAAAAATAGAAAACCAAAAAAAAAAAA